CTTAGGATTCGCTGGTATTTTATAAAATATATGTATTTGAAGGTAAACAATGTCACTTTTATAGAATTGGCTTATTTTTAATTTATAATATAAAATAAATGTCTACATTAAACAAATGTTATGAACTGTATCAGATTGCATTATATCGAATTTTTCCATATTAAAATGCATCGTACATTAATTTTATCGTAGCTCATGTATCTGGATACGTTTTACATGGGAGAGAATCACAGTCCTAGCAAAGAGCTGTAACTACAAAAGTTCAGCTTTACACAGTCGACACGGGCTCTTGATAGGAGCACACTGGACCTTTAAAGCTTAAAGTGTTAGTTTAATATAGTGCCAAAACACTTCAGATCATGGGTAAAATGAGCAATGGACAAAACTCCTAAAACGTTGGTGTAGTTCCTTTAAACTGTACCCAACCTCTGTCTCTTTAGCAATAAAAACCATTTAACAAGCAATATGAAACACAATGAAACTGTACTGTCACAATATCATATGGTTGCCATTTACCGTAGCCAACAGTTAACACAGGTAGACTGTAGCTTTCTGTCTGTCTCACTGTTATCTAATCAATGTTAGGCTTTGTGTTTGAGTGGCTGGATGCTTGTGTTTGTGCAGTAGATTAGCCAGCAAAACAAAGCCTAGAAACATCATCAAACAATAAGGGAGGAGAAATCCTGAAAACCTCACTCACCTCCGAATGCGAGGTCAGGAAGGAGGAGGCTAACGGAGCCATCGCAGTCTGATACCAGGACAGTTCCAGCCTGATTGGACGCTTTATCATGTTTGGAGTTATTTGCTGTTTGTCCTTCATCTTTTTCTGAGTAAATATTCTGAAACAAACTATCTTCATATCACGAGTTGTTCTTCGTGACAAGCACCAGACGTTTGAAGCTCTGTGTAAAGTCTCATTATGATTTCTGGATCACCAAGGCTGTGATTGATTTAATGGAGTCAAAACAGTTAAGAATTTAATTTGAGTTGTTAATATGACTGCTTTAATAGCTGCTAAACAGGGTTTGTTTGAGAAGACTTTGTTAATTTGGGCGACTATTAGTGTTCAAAGTTGGTTAAAAGTTCTGTACACTGTAAAACATCAGTTACATTTTAGCCTGTAACCTTTAAACTGTAAATCTCAGAAACAAATTTAGATTTTTGGGCCATTCTGAATTTTATATTATTGTCACCAAATTTGGTTCAGATGACCTGTAGAAATAATCACTGTTTCAGATTTTTGATATTCTGGACAGTTTTGCTTTAGCTGACCCTAAAATATCTCATATCTCCTGAACACTGTCTGGACCACATTTGGTTGGATTGTAGATATTTGTGAATACGACAGGTTTGGTACCATCTGGCCAATATGTTGGACAGACTGACACGTTTATAATTTGTGCTGGTAAAATATTACCGATTATATTTACGGCCCGGGCAGAGCGCGCCCTAAAGAGCAGCCCCCCTAGGCACATTTCACTAATTTAGCCTCTTGGACCCCAAACCCAACAAGAAGTCGGCCATTATGAAGTTAGTGGTCATTTTTGATGATTTGTGCGTGTTGTATTTCTACAAACTCCTCCTAGGGAATTGATCGGATTGACTTCAAATTTGGTCAGTGCGATCTAAAGACTGCACAGATTAAAAGTTGTGCTCTTTGTGAGTGTGCGTTAAATGGCATGTTCTCGGCGTGGCATAGAATTTCAGCGTATCGCCATTGAAACAGGAAGTTGTCATTCACCTCAGTGTACTTTGTCCAGTCTCAACCAAACTTCACATATCGGTTAAGAGTCCCACCCTGAACACATCTACATGCAAATATTCAGTCATAGTCAAAGCGCCCCCTACTGGAAACAGGAAGTAGGCGGTCATTATTAAAGTATTTCTGATTCAGATT